CAGCATTCAGCATGTTGACTTCAACTTATTCTAGACATTTTAGTGCATTGTGCAATGATTGGTTTACCATAACTTACTTCATGAAACTGCATACCTTGCAATTCTGACCGTTTGTATGAATGCTTCCGTTTTACACCATTCATATAATCTACTTATTTTAGTTTTACGTAACTGCTTAGGAGCAAATTCCAAAGCCGTAAAGTTTAATAAGACTATCTAACGTCTGAATCGTTTTAGTAATGTATATCTTTCAACGAATCCATATCATCAAGTGAACACAACCCCATGTAAAGTTCCTGATAGCAAAAGGTTTTTACAAATTGGTCAGCCATCAGTAAACATTAATGCCGTCAAGCCTAAACATCAAATATAAAGGGAACCCTTTTGATCCAGTTTCATTCCGGCCATCAACGGACATAGTACTGTGGTGCCCCAGGCTTAGTCTTAGATGACAAGAGTCAGACAGTAATTTGAGAATTGAAGTGTAATTTATACCGTTCGTTACCATTCTGTAAATGACGTTAAGACCTGGCTACCACTTGTCTCTCGACTTAAAGAATAAGAGGCTCATAATTTCTTCTAAGATCAACCTTTGTGTGTATTCAAGTTAACACGTTCACCAACTAGAAAAAGTTTAAAGTGCTGATGTGAAAACTTTTATAGTTTAACTTTAATACTAGAAGTTAGAGGAATTTTTACATATTATGTTGAAGTATGTCTAGACTTGTGAAATTATAAGAGCATATATTGAAACCAATTCTCATTGTGTGTATGTGTGAGCATGACAATGGTAGAACAAAACTCACTGGGCTGAAATAGAAACTTGTCTGATACTGTGGACAGTGGTGTAAAAAGGGAGAAGACAAATACAGTGGGAAACTAGAATACGGAAGAGACAACGTGCCCGTTTCCTTTGCATATACATACTGTGAATTTGTGTTTGTGTGTGTATGTATGGAAGAGTGTGGGTAAATGAATGAGATGAATAGGACAACCAAAGAAAAAGGCAGAATATGACTTTCTGTAAAAGTTTCCTCTCTATTATTGACTATTATCGTGAAAACAAGTTTACAATGCCTCAATAGACGTTATTCTCAAACTAATAATAATGAGGTATAGAAGTTACACAAAACGGAAATCATGATGTTATGTTTTACAATAAGGTTCACTGAAAGCAAATAGCGTGATGATCGACATTGTTTGATTTCAGTCTCTATCTCTCTGCGTATGCAGCAGTGCACACGTCTTTCCATTTGTATATGTGTGCATGCTGTGTAAGCTGATCAACTAACTAACTTCAGATAGTGAAAGCCTTTATATGTACTACTTAGTGTCATAGGTAACGAAGGAACTGAAGTTGTCGTGCATAAAATTTTTCAGCATTTATCAAATTATCTTGTCTTTCCCCAGAAATCTACTTTGATTAACCTAATCACAGGGAACGGGAAATTTCTATGACCACTATATTTCATAAAGCGAAACTGTATAGTGTTTAAAAGTGATTTCATGCCCGCTTCTTAATAACTATCTGGATCACAAAATCCAATTAAAGTGCTAGAATACAGAAATTGTCTGCCTAACACTGGTTACCAGACTAAAACAATTTCGACTTAACGATGTGTTCATTGCATCTTCTCTTCATTCGAAGAGAATGTAACAATAATTGAATATCTTTCAAACTATTCACACTTTAAAGTGTTAAGTGAAACTGTCGGAAAGGCTTTAGGATGAATTACTGGCTCACTAGGAAATAAATGAAAGATATCAACTCAATTTATATAACGGAAGAACAACTCTGAGATATAAATATGCTCAGTCAACTGAACTCTTCACCCAGCAAATATGCAGAAGAAAATGGAAATGGGTTGGATTGGGCATACACTAAGAAGACAATTTAGAGACATCACATGGCAGGCCCTCGAGTGGAACCCATGTGGGAAACGACGAGTTGGGCGTCCCAGCTGATGGTGACATGGAGGAAATCGTGTGAGGAAGAAATGAAAGCTTGTGGGCAGTCGTGGATCCAGGTTCAAAAGACTGCAGAGAATAGAGTTCACTGGAGACGTGCTACTGAAGCCCTATGTTCCACTAAGAACCCAAAAAACAAATAATAACTGAAAACTCCGAAGCGTTGGTATCATATTAGGCATAAGAGTGTTAGTTATAGAAATAAATTACACAGAACAATAATTGCAAAACGTTTTATGCTGTATTTTCATTTCTTACGTGATTTACGAAAATCAGAACAGTTGGAGAAAATTTCGCAGTCAAGTAAATGCTTCAAACAAAAACTGCATTATTACCTTATTATCTGGTTTAATTGCACAGTTTTTATTATTGGACCAAATAAATGAAACACTATTTTAGTTTTGGATAACAGTACGAATCCATGCTTTCAAGTCAGCATCACTTGTAAATCATTTTATTTCACCAGTCAGTTTGTTAGTGATACTATTGTATGGAAAATGTTGAAGGCATGTCATATAGTTTCATCCGCTGAATTTCAGCAAGTACATGTTCTTCGAATCCTCAATTAACTATGGTTTTTCGTTAAGAATTTAATGTAGTTTGTTATACAGAACAAGATATGTATGCAGAATCTATATAAATAAACTTACACAATAGATTACAGGATATCCCTAAAATATGATTGTAAACACTCAATTAGAGGACTGTTTTGAATAAATGGTATATCGTTTGCAAACTTGTCAATGGAGACATATGTCTGCAATAAACCTTTCCCATTTTAAAGAAGTCATGCAAGTAATAGTGTGATCATTGAATTATTGTAAAAGTGTTCAGAAATAGTAATTCACATTGTTGAAATCTCTGACAGTTAACATTTCCCAAAGCTATGGAAATTCGGATTCTTTAAACTTTTCATCAAGACTGTATGAGAAAATGACAACTCTTTTATTGTTTCATTTTCAGTATGTATCGACTGATTAAACTGTGTGTTTTATGTCTACCATTTTGTTTAAATTTGATTTATGCTATTCCTATCATTACCGAAGTGGACCTTACTATTTCTTACTAATTACTTAACATCCCACCAACTTATCCGCTTTTTGTACATTTAGATTATTGTAAAAGATATTAAATTTAGCTCAGTTTTCTTTGATAGTAAATATGTCACCTCACTATCTATATTTATGCTACGGCCAGGCTGTATTATTAACTTCAAGCTGTCGTCAAACAAATTTCCAACGACTCTCCTCTTAAAATCCCACTGTTTTTACTAATTATTTCAACTGCTTGCAGTTGGAAGGTTTTTCAAAATTTATATTAGCTTTATCTTCGTTAAATAACGCTTGACTATTAATTACTGTTTATGAAATGTTAGGTAGGAGTTTACAAATGTCTAATCTCACAATCCCCATACCGTTCTTAACTAAATATTTAACTTAAGGCTGATTATAATAATTGTTAACATACCTATAAATAATACTCTATGAGTTTCTTGATATCTACGTCAGTTCACCCTGAATATAATCACTGTAAGTTATAATGTAATATTCCCCCCCCCCCCCAAAATGGTTATTTAACAAGTAGGGTTTCCAAGTAAACAGAATATTTGGAAAAGTAAAACGTTCATAGTGTTTGGGGTTCTCACCAAAGGATTTGTTACCTGCAATTTTCTCGTCTGATTAAAGCACACATATGTCAGCGGGGCCGATGAGTTTTTATTAGACATATACACTTTTGAAATATTCTGATTATAAGGCTCTGATTAATTTACGATTTATACCTTTAACATGTAACATCAATTAACCGTTTTCTGTATAACATGTGACTACTGTAAGAAATAACCTCATTTGTTAATTTTCAGTTACAATTAAAAGGGATCAACAACTGTTTTCATGAATAGTATGAATATAGGAAACTGGTCATCTGTGGGACAACGAAAGAGATACTATTAAACAGAACAGTCTTATCAGTTTGGATTCAGTATATTATGAATATACTTCTCTATATAATGAGCGGTTACATATAAACGTGAAAACAAACAACCTTGTCTATGTCACTGTAATTATAATGCTGTCACATAAAACTTATTTCTATCACTATCAGTAAAATTAACTGTGTACCTAGGGCTGTCTCCTTGGTCTGCTATAGCTGCACTCTTTTGTGTAGATTATGAAATATACAGAACGATTGACTAACAGATTATTGTCTGCTTTATCTGGAGGTTTGTGGAGGTTTATTAATTGATTTTAGGTTGGAATTCATCGTGGACTGACAGTTGGAGGAACACCGGAAACCTGAGAGCACTGGACAGCTGTTTCGTCATAGTACTGGTTTCCTCAGCTTGCGCACCTATGACTCTGCCAGGGATCGCAGACCATTGGATTCGGACCAAGTGGCTGAGGGGTAACGTGCTGACTACGAAACCTCAAGGTCATGGTTCGATCCCCGGTGTGGTAGTGAGTGCACACTGTTGAGGAGTTCCGTACTAGGATGAAACAGCTGTCAGGCACTCTCAGCGCTCCAATGTTCCTCCAACTGATTTCAGTCCATGATGTATTCCGACCTAAATCAATTGATAAACCTCCACGAACCTCAAGATAAAATTAATCTAGCGCTCACTGGTGACTAGCTTCGAGAGCTGATTCCCGAAGTTCTAACGACAAGTCATGACCAGTGGAGTCAACCAAGTCGAACATGAGGACAGTTACTCAACTGTGACATTGGGTGTAGGTCACGCTATATTGTCTATTTGAAACCTCATGACACACATAATAAATAGACACAAATTATTTCACAAGTATTACTGATCTATTTGTGCAACGGTTATTGCAAAATATAATCTTGTTTCACATACTGAGCTTTATGGCTTAGTAAATACACCATTTTCTGTGTTCTAAAATAAACCAACCGCAGTAATTTCATCCGACTGGTTTAAAAAGGCAGTGTCCTTCAAGTATGACTCATTAGAATATTAATATACATTTTGATAGCTTATAACTTCATATCCCGCCGATTAATTTTTTTATCGACAGCCCCGAGTTCGGCTCCATACTCCATTGAAACGGTAACAACGTCTGATGACTCAGTTTTGGTCAGCTGGAAACCACCGAAAGAAGCAAATGGAAAGATAATTGTAAGTCTTCAAATGCTGTACTGCAGTATTTCTATATCTTAGAAAATGTTTCTCATAATTTTTTCCTATCCACCTTTCGGAAATGCACATGATACGTGTGGTCTACGTATCCATTTGACACTGAAGATCACTGAACTGAGAGGAGAGTGCAGGATGCGACATTTTCTTCTTAACTCATAGGTTCACAAGTGCAAGAAACTTCAACAATACAGCTATGAATATTCAAAGTACAAGAAGAAATAACTGACCTCATAAGTGATAAACGTCCAATACTATAACCTACAGAGGAAAGTGATATAAAAACTAAAACATATTTTTTCCCGATAACGGAAGAGATGATCAAAAACATAACCATTTGTGTAGATATCTTAAATAGCCAACAACCTTTAGATTCAGGAAACGGAAACTATCTCCCTTAACTGTAGTTAGCAACTAACTAATTCAGAAGTCATTTGGCATAATCAAACATTAATAATCAAAAATTCGACCAGGGTTGGTGTTGTAATGTTGGTCTAGATTTTGCATGAAAAATGGCAGTCATTCTAATACTTACTTTATTGTCCAACTTGGCAATTACTCACTTCACACTATGTATATAACCAACCAAATAATTAGTACTATTACAGCAGCTTAAATGACGGGTGAACATTTGTGGAGTGACATCAGAGAGTAAGTTGAATTAGATGACTAAAAAACAGAAAAGTTTTGAATGACTATTCTGGTTAGTATGATCATACTCATTTCTTTCTGATTTACTGACATACATTATTAGGTCATATGAATTCCGTAAACGGCTTGATTCCCTCACCAGTTGTCTTTCTTTACTTCAGAATTGCAGTAGCAAGAATTTCAGTTAGGCATTTCATAAAAATAATATCCTTACTTCAGCGAAGGTATCACACTAACAAATCTGTAAGTCAAACCGGTTATGTGTCTGAAAATGGAGTAGACACAACTAGACACTGTTTTCAATGGAATTAAATCGCCTTTCACATTTATTCTGCTTCAAGTAATCAAGCATGCCATAAAGTTAATATGATTCTAAAGAGAAAATTTTGCCTAATGAGGCCAACTGCTCTGTGATCACTCTCGTTTAACTTAGCACTGCTGCCGGTATGGAAAACAACACGGCTTCCTGAACAATGAGCGGTTCTTTATCATCTGAAATGAGAGAGGAATTTTATCCGTAAATTGTTGTTTTCAACACCAGAACATTGACGGAATGTTATTCTTATTCTGTTCATTCATAACCATATAACGCCTCCAGTTTACTGAGTAAAATACTGTGGGAAAGTAGGGATATCCATGTGATTCGAACCAAAAGGGTACTGAAAAAAAGAAGACTCTTATCTCATCATAGATGTTCTATAGTAGTTTAACTATTAAATGAATAATCTTAGCAAGGGTCGAAGCTTAACACCAGTTATTAGCAAACCGTACTGAACTGTAAATTAGACAATATAAACAGTACAAGGTAGGATAAAGAAAGTCAGTCTAGTGCAAAAAAAATTTCTAAACCTAATGCGCTGAATAGAGCTGGAAAGTGCTTGCACTTTTCCACTAAGATAGGGTAGTAGAACAGGAATAATACATATCAGAAATTGAGAGGGATTTCAGTGAATCAAGTTGGTCCGCAACAAGAAGGATTGAAATAGGGAGAGCCATTCGACCAAAAGAGTTGGACAAAATGCGCTTATACACAGAGTTCACGATTCTCTTAGTGATTAGTGAAACCTCACTCCACAAAAACATTATGAAGTTAAAGTCCTTCTGAATACCTTGATCTCATTTTGTATATCTACCTCATGGGCTGTTTGCGGACGCCACTTGACCTGACGAAGAAGTATGTTCTGCAGTGAAACTCTTAATCGATCTGCACTCTGATTTCAGAAAGCATTACGTCAACTGCTCATCATCATATCCTGATAGTCTCCTGCTAGTAGGCATGTTGGCAACGTTGGAACTTCATCTCCGAAGTTTTGATGAACCGAAGCCTGTGTGCAGAAAGGTGGACAGGGGATGCAGCGAAGAATGTTCTTCGAAATGCTTTCAATATGTGGACTTGTAGAGCTTGGTTCACCATGCTGCTTGTAAAATTTCAGACTGACACCCAGGTATTTTGCAGATGGTGTCAAATTGTTTTAGACGCCAGGCTTCTTTTTCATGGTATTTATTAACAAATAAGGTTGGGTATCGATTCCAAACCTCGGTCCTGACATGATTGCCACCAGCAGCTTAATGCTCCTCGATGCGGCATTCTATCAAATGAGTTACGATACCCGAATTCTTACCGGTTGTTAACTTCAATCATGCCAGGCTTCGCACAGCTACCATGTGAATCTATTATGTATGACTGTGATTTCACTGTAAGCAAATTGACAAGCCAGTGCTTATGTTGAGATTGAGAGACGATTGATTATTTCCTTAGAAAAAATACTGTATTTAAGTGGACGTAATCGAGTTATGCAGTTGAGGGTGGGAGAACATGTGCCTAAATGGCTTCAGAAACAAATGGAGTGTGAAACAATGATAAAAGCAGGTGGGAGACGACCCTCTTCATCTATAGCTGAACATATCATAGAAACAGGTCACAAAGTTAATGTTCAAACAGATTTCAAAGTTTTATATAGAAACAGTCAGGGACGTATTCTGAGATTTGCGGAAGCCATAGCCATACATAAATTTAATCCACCTTTATGTGTACAAAAACATTTTGTTATTACACTACACCTACCTTGGTAAACCTTATTTTCATACCAAGATTAGGACCAACTATGTCACATCCTGTTTGTCCTCATCTTTCTTAATTTTAATCCCCTATTGTGTTAATTGTTGTATTCATTCCCCCCCCACTCCTCGTTTTAATATATATATTGACTTGACAAGTAAATGTGTCATCAGGTTGTTCGAAATGTATTGCGCAAACACATTACATTGCTCAGATAAACTTCGTCCTCTAATTACGCTATCGAAATTCATAAAAGGGACTAACTGTTTCAAATGTATATTTTTGTATCAACGTTTACCTACTCATGAGTAGATAGTCTGTGTTTTCGGAATATTAAGCAGAAAATGATGATTAAATCAAGACAAACATTTTACGTGGAAAAACAACCACTGATGAAAATCGTTCACTCCCAAAAGTTTCATCTGCGTAACGAAATACAGAAATTTGGATATCTCACTTGATTTAACGTTATTTTTCAATGCAAAAGTTTCAACTTATTGTTTTAAATCAGACGTTTAAAGCAGTTATCACATTTTCAATATTCGCTTATTAGCCCATAACAGCAGTAATTTTCTTATGCTCTGACGTTTCAAGGTTTTACTCCCTTTCAATGGCGACAAACTTCATGCCCTCAACATTAAACATATTCACAGGCGATTAAGCTTGACTTTATCTTAACCAGAATCACCTATGGTACATGTTGGTAACTGCAGTACTGAGTGACGTGCGTTATATTCTTGATTATGAAATGCCACAGAAAACATCACATATATTTGTGATGAGTGCAGAACTCCACATCCTCTCACATGGAAAAATTAACAAGTGATTTTGAGGCGTTACTGGTCTTTAGCATGATCTCTCATCCCATCCTATCACTAGCCACATGAACCACATGATCTCAATGCATTCGAAATGTATATATCAAGTCCCGTGTTAACATAGTTGCTGGCTTATGATGGGATATTTAGATGGCGTTATGTCCAAAGTTAGACAGCACTGTTTCAACTACAGGTGGCGGCACAGATGAGGAAGTCAAATCCAGGGTCGGAAAGGCAGCAAGACAGGAGTTCATTAACCTGAAACCAGTGTGGTGATCTTTTGCACTCAGCATAAAGAACAAGATCCGGATTTTCAACACCAATGTCAGTCAAGTCAGTGCTTCTGTGTGATGGTTCAGAGACTTGGCGCATTATGAAGAGCATTTCCAACAAACTGCAGATATTCATCAACAGCTGCCTACTCTTGATACTGATAATCAGATGGCCAGAAAGAATTAGCAACAAGGAACTCTGGCAACAAACCAACTAACCAAGAACTTATCGCTCAACAAATATGCAGAAGAAAATGGAAATGGGTTGGATTGGGCATACACTAAGAAGACAATTTAGAGACATCACATGGCAGGCCCTCGAGTGGAACCCATGTGGGAAACGACGAGTTGGGCGTCCCAGCTGATGGTGACATGGAGGAAATCGTGTGAGGAAGAAATGAAAGCTTGTGGGCAGTCGTGGATCCAGGTTCAAAAGACTGCAGAGAATAGAGTTCACTGGAGACGTGCTACTGAAGCCCTATGTTTCTGCAGGAACCCAAGGGACAAATAATAATAATAATGTCGAAAGTAGACCACCTGACTTCAACATTGTGATTAAATGGTAATAAACTCTCTGTAGTACATAATCGACTTAAGTTCCATCTTGCATGAGGTCAATGGTAAAGGCTTATAATAAAAAGAAACAGTTCTCGCCTGTTCCTTCATGTTCATTTCTCTGCCAGCTGATGTTGATTCATGATGAATGTTTCTAAATTAAAACGTTTCCACTTTATTGATACATTATCCACGTGTATTCTTTCCCATATCAACTTTAATAATTCTACTGTTTTTGCAGTTAAGTGCTTACTAAATCCGAGATAAGATACACAGATATCTGTTACCCTACTTAAGATAGCTATACAAATGTTTATAGAGTTCAGATGAAACTCTTTTCGGAATGCCAGTAACAGCATAGCCATTGAGAAATTTTCTAAGATGACTGGTATCAAAATGCATTTAATTTCAATGAAATAATTTCAAACGAAGATACATCGCGAGATTACCTATAGAGAGAAATCTAGGTGTATAGTAATAAAATATAGGGACCAGTTAATTGCATAACACTGGGACACCTAAAAATGTTGTGAATAGATGCTAATATAAATGAATGGAATTAAGAACCTGGTACCTTAATAAAGATACTTTTTAACAACTTGCCCAAAAATAGCCTTGAGTAATACCGGTGTTTTTCCATATACTTTTTTGTATAATGATCTAAACGCTCTGTACTGATTTACACAACCAGTGATTTGTATATTTAGTTTTCTAAGATATTTGCCTCCGTAATAATACCGATAATAATTGAAGAGGTAATTTAGTTGTGAGTTGTTTTCAGTGTCCATTACGATTTTCGGTAAGCGGCACGAGACTATCAAATATTTTCTTCAAAAAACGAGATACAATTCAATCTGTTTTTGGCGGCATTTATATAAAGATAATCTAATCTATTCCCTCATAATACAGTGCATGATAAGGACAACTTATTATATTCGGTGTTAGAAAACTTTTCTAGTGTTCACAAAACAGATAACCCAGAGTGTAATCATAATGATTACCTTTTATTATACCCAGGGATTATCTAAGAACGAAATGAGCGCGTTGGGTGGCAGAATTTACATACTAACTAACTTATGATAAAAATACTCCTTGTTCTCAGTTTATCTCAATAAGCGTGAATTCCAACTCTGATTGGAGATTTTGGGAGGTTAGATGAGAAGATGGATACTCATCACAGAAGCTGACTAGCAGCCTACTTGTAACATAAACCTTTCTGCACTATACAAGGTTTATCACCTAAGTTGGATTATCTTAAGATTTTTGCTGCAAGATCTGAAGATCCGAAGTTCTAGCATGTACGATGTAGATAGCTGTATTTCAATTCAAAATTTATTTTACTAATAATAATCGCACATTGGAAGATTAAACTGAAATCCCATCTGTGGTTGCATTTATGTTGTTAACTTACAGTTTTAGATAAGGTTAGGAAAAGGAACGCTAGTAATTGGAATTTTGCTGAGAAGGAGTTGTGATATTTACTGCTCATTGTAATTTTCAAGACCATATTAATTAGTTTCCCTTTCACATTATAATGAACGCATTTTGCTTCGTGATTTCATCAGGAAAATGATTAGAATGAATAAAATGAAGGGGATGAAAGCTTAGAAAAATCGGTATTTACGCTATTTCGGCAAACGAAGAAGTGTCAAAAATTTTGATACTTCTGGTACTGATAGACTTCCTCTCTATTTCTAATTGTTCGATTAGAAGGTTCTAGGATTTTAGCGGACAGTATGAAGCAACATTATAATCAGGCTTAAAATCTAAGCATACAAGGCGAGAATCTCTGGTTATGCAAAATAACCTCAAGACACGTCAAGACAAAAGAAGAGTTAGACTGAATAAAAACAAGTAGAGGAAAACCTTTAGCCAGATTCCTATGCGTTACAACCAAGTTAAAATATATTTATAGTTACTGGATTGTTTATAGACTACTTGTGTGTAAACAGTTTGACTGTATCCGGGTCAATAAAAATTACCGGTAGTAGGATTTCTTCTTTCGTTTAAGAGTGTTAAATTAACACAGATCAATACTGTTTTAGATATATTCGGTGTTGTGTTATTCTACTGTTGAGATCTCTTTAGTTTAAAGTTTATAAGACTACATCTAAGGCATTGGTTGGTCACCATAGAGTAACCGATTTCATGTTGTCTAGTCCCGAGTGCTGACAGAATTCTGTTGATCATTTAGGAATGTGGCCACCAAGCTAGGAGGCTCAGGGTCGTGCTGCACATTGATAGATATTAGTTGGTTGATTGAAGGGAATTGGCAGAAGACCACAACTCTGAAAGTTGTAGAGTTACATGATATGAATATGGACAACGAATTTTGTGTGGAACGTTATCCAGTAAGTGCTAATGTTTCACTGCGTGACATTTTTGATAAATAAACTACAATAGAACTATAATCTACCACAGTCCGCAAGTTTTACTCCTGTATGAAATAAATTCTAACTGTATCAAACAGACAGACGTATATGATATTTGTGTATGAATCCGAAATCCCGTGAAATCAGTAAGCTGTGATGACGTTAAATACTATGAAAATGACTCAAATAAGGGAATTTTCAGTCAAGTAATTCCATCAAGTGATATAATGATAGCATGTTCTCTATCAGAAGTAATGAACTTAGTCTCTGTAAAGTTTGACTTCAAATTTAATATTTTTAGCGAGTTTAAAAAAGGCAAAGCAGAGACTAGGTGTTTGCTTGGCTTTTGGTCCTTCCTCAAGAAACCCAATATGACCAACTTATCAAAAACTAAAAGTTATAGTGCCCCCTAACTAGCATTGTATTCTTATAGACCATGGTATGACTTTAATTTAGATTTCTTTGATGTGGATACTAATTTCCAAGGCATTTATACGACTTCAAAAGGACTACTGTTCGTCAGAACTGGTAAATTTGTATCAGTGAGTATGCACTTCAGAGAATTCATTTCTGATCAGCTACCAATTTATTACAGCTTTTATAAATTTTAACTCTTGAGATTCTGGTCTTCGAACAGTTTATCTATTTTTACAGGGTTATCATGTTTTCTATCATCGAAATCCTCAAACTCCAGTTATACAATGGCAAAAGGTTGCGACCCAGTTTGAAAGTGTCAAACTAGAAAACCTTTTTACTTCAGAAACTTATCACATACGCGTGGGTGCACACAATTCAGCTGGTGAGGGTCCTCTAACAGATTCATACCCAGTATTGGTCAAATTTGGAAGTAAGTTGACTTTTTATTGCCTATATGATAATTTAAGTAGCATAATTTGTAAATTTTACTGCAAATATGTATTAAAAGTTCTCTAGAAATTTGTTAAAATCACTGCGTTATGAAAAGTGAGCTACTTTGAATCTATAAAGCGTACTGAGTAATCGTAATTCATTTTTCTGTTGTTATGGTTATCTACTTATTGGTTGCATAAATGTTTATCTTACAAAATATGAGTAAAGAAAGAGAATTAACTACTACTCCACTTTCAAGACAGCTTGAACTAAAAATAGCTTAACGTGTAATTTAATATCACGAACGTCTAAGTGTAACAATATTTAGAATAGCGTTTACTATTTAGCCTATGAAAACAAGCTATTCAATAAAGATCTGTGACAAAATAACCACAGGATGCTGACAAGACTAAATGCAGCAGCTTCAAAAAGGTATAAATGAGCAACACAGAGACTCTCAGTTTTACCTGAATAGACACGTCTCAGAACTTTGCAAAGTTGTAAGGTTTACCCGTTCTGTTGCAACGTTATTTTGTGCTTCTGTACTCGACAATAAGTAATATACACTTTCACTTTTGCATTCTACGCGACATGACGGCAAGCAGAGAACTAGCTAACAGTCCATAAAGAGTGAAGGTTATCAAATTCGTTGTGGATGAATACAGCTTATGACACATTGATTGGTTACTGGAGAGTAACCAACTTCTTGTTGTGTAGTCCTAAGTGCTGATCGAATTCTATCGACCATTTCGCAATGTCTGAACCAAGCTACTTAACTCAACATCGGGATGCACTCTGAGTGATGTTTGTTGGATAGAGGCAATCGGTAGTTCAAGACTTTACTCGATTAAATAACAGAAAATATTCGAGGTAACCAATCAAAGTTGAATTAGAAAATATGCTTAAAATGTCAGTTGTTCATAAGTACTGTGGCTGATTGAACGGAAAAATGTTACACTGATTAGTAGCGAATATGATGGATATACCGCCTAGGATTGGGAGGAAATTTAATCATTTGAGTTTGATTCTCCAAACCTCGAATGCGGTGAATTCGTTTCTTCTCCTTTCCTTTGTCGACAACTTGATCCACATTTCCGAAGAATGGTTGTTTCAAGCAGCTAAGAGGATCTCCAACATTGTGGAATCTTCCTACAAAGTGTTTCATCAATTCTACTACTCATGATCTCAGAGAATCGATCTGGTTGAGAGCGTGACAATGAAATTTCCTTCCATTTAGTTGAAATCTGCTACGACGTAATGATTTCCGATGGATATTAGGATAGCGACTTTTTCAACACCCTCATAAATAAAAGCCGTTAGAGTCCTCGCTTCACTAGCCCTTGCACAATATTTCAGTTACTCATTGAAAACTTTTAACGCCACCTGATGCTCAAAAGATTTCAGGAATACGAAAATTTAGAAAAAAAGATGTGGGCGAGGGACTATTTCTTTTCAATTTGTTCCCCATCAATATACGGCATTTTCAGAATATAAAACTACATACCAGTTTGGGAGTAACAGTTGTTTAAGGACAGCGTAACAATCTCAAAGTATCACGGAAGTGTAAATATTTCAAGGTAATTAGAGCAGTAGCTAAAGCAAAGACTGAAGTATAACTTGTGAAATACTAAACAGGTTGTTGTATGATTGATTATTATTAATTGTCACTTGGGTTCCTAGTGGAATATAGGGCTTCAGTTGCACGCCTCCAGTGCACTCTCTTCTCTGAAGTCTCCTTTACCTGGCTCCACAACTGTCCACAAGCTTCCATTTCATCCTCACGTGATCTCCTCCATATCACCCTCACCGCGGACGCCCAACTAGCCGTCTCCCCATTGCCTTCCACTCGACCACCTGGCCTGTCACGTGATATCCCCACTCGGCATTCTCAGTGTATCCCCAATCCAATCCAATCCATCTCCACTTCCTTCTGCATATCTCTTGGGCTACAGGTCCTTGGTTGGTTCGTTGACCGGCCAGAGTGAGTTCCCAGTTGCTCATTCTTATTATTCTGGCCATCTGATCGATATTCACTATCGATTGAGAGTAGGCGGAAACTGTTGATGAATGTCTGTAGTGTGTTGAAAATACTTCTCGTGACGCGCCAAGTTTCTGAAGCATCACACAGAGGTACTGACTTGACGGACATTGGTGAAGAAAATCCGAATCTTGCACTTTATACTGAGCGAAGTCCAGTGCAGTAGATCTCCACACTGATTTCACACTAATGCAGGAATGCCTGTCTTGCTGTCTTTCCAATCTTGGCTTTGACGTCCGCATCTGTGCCTGTGCCACCGCCTATAGTTGAAACGATGCTGCCTTGCCTGGGTAGATGAAAGATACTGCTTCCTTTAGATTCCTCCTCTTCATGATGATTGGTGCTTGTTGTTGTTGCTGTTATTGCTTGGGTATCTTCACCACCTCTGTTTTCTCTACATTCACCTGAAGGAAGTCCCATCTTAACTGCCTCTCCTCTCCTCTCCTCTCCTCTCCTCTCCTCTCCTCTCCTCTCCTCTCCTCTCCTCTCCTCTCCTCTCCTCTCCTCTCCTCTCCTCTCCTCTCCTCTCCTCTCCTCTCCTCTCCTCTCCTCTCCTCTCCTCTCCTCTCCTCTCCTGCCAACTTGCTGGTTTTCACCTGTAGATCTTCGAGTTTGTGTGACAAGACATAACACATAAATCATCATCTTCAGTGAAATTCAAATCTTCTCCTGAGGTCTTTTCATCCGTCCAGCCACCGTATGCCCATCTTCTCGCTCCTCACACTTTGCTACATGATCCACTCCACTCCAGTCCAGCCCAGTCCAGTCCAGTCCAGTGGACCACAATCAGGAAGATGATCGGTGAGAGTAGGCGGCAGCCTTGTCTTACTCCTTCCTGTCTTCACTTCAAAGGCGTCACTGAGCTTTCCATTGTGAATCACTTGGCACTTAGCATCATATAGCGTAGCATAGCATAGCACAGCATAGCATAGCATAGCATATAGCTGGTGTTGAATGAGGTTGATAAAGGTTTGTGGCACTAAAACCGTAGTGTTGAAGCAGTTGCCTGCCAAATTACTTCTCGGTCGACGCTGTCGAAGGCCTTTTCAAAGTCGATGAAGTTGAAGTAGAGTTGAGTTGACCGCCACTCTATGCTCTGTTCTATGATGATGTGCAGTGTAGCGTTGCATTGAAACTTGACCCGCACATGATTTGTTCTTCCCGTAGCCAGCCAGCCAGCCAGCCTGTTCCGATAATAGTTTTGATTCCGGAGCATTGTTTAGACCTTCCAGGATGATGCGGCATAATATTTAGCTTGGTTTGGGTGGACAGGGATAGTAGCATGATTCCACGCCAGTTCATGCAAAGGCCTAGGTCGCCCTTCTTTGGCAGTTTGACAAGGTAGCCCTTCTTCCAATCTATTGGCAGATACCCTCCCCTCCTTCCTTGCAAACCTTCCGCAGTAGTGGTGTGAGCATGTCTACTGTTGTCTCTGCATCTGTTTTCAGTACTTCCGGAGGAATTGCATCTGGCCCTAGTGCTTCCCCGGATTTCAGCAGTTTTGTGGCGTTCACGACCTCACTTCTGCTTACGTCGGAGGGCTTGTGTTCATTGATAGTAGTGTGGCTGGGTTGCTGGTGGTATTTCTGCACGAGTTGCAGGTTTCGGTGACGGTGATGGTGGTAGTGGTGGTGGTGGTGGTGGTGGTTGATTCAAGAGTCTTTCGAAGTGGTCAGCTCATCGTTTCCTTCGTTTCTCCTCTTTGGTAACTAACTTTCTTCCACTATCTTTCATTGGTTTCATCTGTGTCGACCTCTCCCCTCCCAGATAGTAACCCGGTTATTTGATATAATGTTGTCAGGTCTCTGTCTCTCCTACCAGCAGCCCGTTCCGCTTCACTTGTCAATGTGTCATAGAAGTGTCTTTCGTCTTTGCGCGCACTCTTCTCCACTTCTTTGTCCAGTGTAGTGAGTGTTTTCTATGTTGCATTCACTTCCTCTTTTCGTTCTTCATCGCTGCACTGCACCGCACCGCACTGGTTCATCTTCTGCTTCACCATCTTCCTCTCCTTGCTCTATCAGCTACCATGTATCCATGACGATCCATTCCTTGTCTTGCTTCTTCTTCCCCCTAATACGGTTACGCAGGTTTCTTTCCACATCTCTTCCACCAGTTCCAGTGTTCTTCCACACAGGTTTCTTCACGCATGTTGCCTAATGTCTCCCATTGTTTCTTGATGACTGATTGATGTCAAGATGTCCTCATTAGTTTCGTCCGTCAGTTCAGTTTCTGTTCTGTGTGGTTGTTGAACTTCAACTGTGATCTGTCTATCACCAACTTCTGTGATGTGCTTCGACTCGATTTTGAAGGTAGGTAGGTAGGCTCCTTGCACTAGATAGTGAGTGGTGTGAACCACTTACATCTGCTCCCCTTCTTGATCCAATCTTGTGTTCAGTAGACTGCATCTCCACTTTCTTGTGATTGGAATGAGGTCGATGTTATTTTTAGTGTGTCCTGGTGTCTGGTGAAATCCATGTCACTACCTCGTGAATATCCTTGTGTTTGTACACACTGTCTGACTCCAATCACCGAATCGTTGAATGCTCAGTAGTCTGCAAACAGTTCTCCATTCTCAGTTATCACTTCACCGAGTGATTCTCGACCCATGTTGGGTTCTCTTTCTGTGTTTTTCTCTCCCAGTTCGGCATTCATATCACCTATTAAAATTTTGATGTCTCCATCTGAGGTGGGGTCTTGTCGAGTACTGATTGCAGTTGTCTCTAGATTTCCTCCTTCTTCTCCTCATCTGCATTATTTGTAGGTGCACATTGTAGCATTGTACGACTGTGACTTTCCCTCCTTTTGAGTTGAACCTTGCTGTCATGATCCTGATGATGCAGGAGGAGGTTGGTTCCCACTGCATGAGAGCCTTCGATGCTCTTGAAGGGGACATCATGGTAGCCTTTTGGTAACTCAGTGTGGGTTACAGGAGTAGATAATTAGCTCTCCAGTTGACAGTT